TTTTTTTTTTTTATTTTTTTTTTTTTTTTTTTTTTTTTTTTTTTTTTTTTTTTTTTTTTTTTTTTTTTTTTTTAAATAGTATGGAAATTAATGAGACTGTGAATTTAAAACAAATGGAAACTCAGTCAGCTATGAAGATTTTAGAACTGGGATACTGAAATCCAAGTTATGGCAGTCGTACAGGCTCAAAAATTACTAAAAGTCAAGCTAACATGAAAAAAAAAGTAAGAAAAAAAATTATACATATGTGCTATTACCTTTTTCATCTCTGTGTGTCTGTGTATAGCCATGCATACATAATTAACCAGGAAAAAAATAAGAATGTGGTAGAGATGCAAGCAAATCTAGAAAAAGCTCTGTAAGTAATCTTCCTTGTTATTCAGTAAAGACTGTAATGCACATGGAAGTGACAGCAGGCTGATTAATTAACAGGAATGAAGGTTGAGAAGAAAAATTCAGGGAGCTCAATGGTTCAAGCTGGGAAGGGCAAAGGAACATAAATAATCACAAAAGAATTCTAGAGGAATTAACATGTGGAATCACAGAGCCTGAAAGGTGGATTTTTACTTTATCTGTTAAGTCACAGTGAAAAAATCCACCACAGTCACTAAATTTTTTTTAGTTTAAGAGGTAGGACAAAAAAACCAACCAACCAAACAAAAAAAAACAAACCTGCCAGCAAAACTCTGATGCCAGTAACATATATACCAGAGCACCTCACCAATATCAATCAGAAGAGCTAGTTTAATTTTAAAGACTAGAGCCTGAGAGAAAGGGATTGATTTAACATAAAGAACCACGTCATATGCATAAAGATAACACATTTGTTTATAAGCTGCATATTCAATTGGAAATGGTGAAGATATGTAAATGTCAGCCAGAAAATTATGAGGCGGTTATGAAGATGCTTGGAAAAAGCAAATGCCATCCTGAGAGACATCAGATATTTCCAAAAGCAAGGGACAATTGCTAATTGACTTGTATAATACATCAGTAGGGACTCATCTGGAATATGGCATACATTTCCATTTTTACATCTTTAAACTGTATTAACTCCTGCTGTGGAGAGTTGAGGACTAAATGAAATAAAACAACAGGAACATGATTGCTCCACCCAGACACTTCACAAGAGAAACAATTAATAGAGGAAAGGTCTTAAGAAATTATGGGTCAAAACTGAGCTTGCTCTATGAATAAAGTGTAAGGCTAGAAACCACACAGAAAAAGATGGGAATCTGTATAATTTCTGACAAAAGGCTGTGGTCTTTCAAGGTTGCATAGATACTTCTACATACTGCAGCATTCACTTCTGCAAACTTTTAAATCTCAATCTTTAAAATACCTTGGGATTCATTCAGGAACCTGATTCAATACAGCTGAATAATTGGTTTAGTCTTGCACTTCCTAACACTTCCTAATGTCTATCAACACCTGAGTTACCTTTTCTTATCAATTTTGTTGAGTAACGTGTGTAACAAAAGTCTCACAAAGCTATCATGTTATTTAGGATATTTATTTCTCTAACATTGCATCTCAAAATAAAACTCTCTTTAAATATGCAAGTCTCCCTAATGAAAATCTCAAAAAATTGGATTAGAATAGCAAGTAATGGGCATTTTAAGAGAGGCTAAGCAAGATGATGAATTCTATTCCCACTAAGATTAATGTGCTGGAAGAACAAGTTTTAAGAGTTCAATAATGGAATTTCTTAAGTGGGACTACAATATGAAAGCCATAAAACTACCAGTAAGGCAAGAGGAAAGTAATATAGAAAGACTGAAAAGAAAGATTTTAAAAAAGGCAGAGCAAAACTTGAAAAAATCCAAACCCAATTTCAAATACACTGTTAAAAAATAAAGTAAAAGTAGGTATGTCAATATTTCCACCCACTCAGTAGGTAGTGAATATATTGAAATTTACAGTGAGAAAAAGATTGCAAAGTAAAATGATCAAAGCAACTATTATGCCATAAAAAAGTCATAACTCTTCTTCAGGCTCTGGTATAAACTTAACGCAGTGGAAATTCCACCTGAACATGAGGAAGAACTTCCTTACTATGCAGGTGAAAGTGCACTGAACAGGTTGCCCAGAGAGGTTGAGGAGTCTCCCTCACTGGAGATATTCAAGAACCATCTGGATGTAATCCTGTGCAATGTGCTCTAGGATGGCCCTGCTTGAGAAGGGAGGTTGAACCAGACGATCCACTGTGGTCCCTTCCAGCAGGACACATTCTGTGATTCTGTATGCTACACTGCCAAACACTTTAAAGTGAATTATGAAAAATTTGGAAAGGCACGGGAATGATTGCTGAACTCAGCAGTATAAGTAGACAGAAAAAAAAAATTGCCTAACAATTAAAGCAGACTGGTAAGCAAGTTGAAAAGATTATTGCTCTTTACTTTTGTTTAAAATCTTTTTCTAAGTACTTTGTAATATGTCAA